AACTAGAGAGATCCATGTTACAGTTACTGAAGTTGTTTGTTTTCTAAAATTCACTTTACTCAAGGATTATAAATTAGAATCTTCAGAGGTGAAGCCTCTAAGCAGATGGATTGTAGGCAAAGCTCCACAGGTAATTCTCTGTGCGTATTACTCTAGTTAATAATGTCTGACATAAGCTGTGGATAAATTAAAATTCTGAAGCCTTTCAATAAATTTTGAAAGGTAGAGATCAAATGGAGCGTTTCAATTTGGGTGAGCTGAAGTTATGACTAGACTTTGGACAAAAATATATATTAAGGAAGTAAGTAGAAGTGTTAGAGAACTTAGTCAACTGATTGGCATTGTTAAGCAAATTAGGCACATTCAGACTTATATAAAATATTTGTCATACACTTACTGCAATACGTTTGATAAAGAAGAAAATGTTTCCTAGGATGCTTTTCACTTGTACTGAGGAAACACTTCCACCAGGTGGCAGTAAAGATACATTTGAGAAAGAAACAAGCAGAATGAGTTTCTTAAACTTTTTGTGTGTGATGGATCTCTTAGAATAATGCTTTTAAGTGGATAAAACAAAATATATGGTAATATATGTGCTTCTTTAAATGTATTAAACAACAGTGCCTAACAGATCTAATAAAAGCCATAGTTTTGAAGTAGTGGTAAGTGTAAATATTTTAAAGTATTTGCAACTGCAGCATGATATGAAAATATTTGTGATATCTGTTAGTGACAAAATCTGAGGTCCTCCTAATACTATTGTGTATTTGTTGCCTACATTCATTACTGAAGAAAATGTTCATCTTCAGTCCGAGGTTAATGAAAATGAAGACAAATTTCCTACACTTAAATTCATAGATCACATGAATTCTATCCCTAGACCCCCAAAGGGATCCCATATTAAGAATTTCTATCCTAACAAAAAAGAGTTTCTGTCCTATGGAGAACTATATGAGTGTATGGATAGTGATTACTTATGATCTGGGTTTTTTAAGATATATTTGGTAATGAAGTTACATATAGGTATATGACACTTTATGAGATAGAAAGTTTCTGAAGAGATAGGCATAAAATAAATTATTATATGTAAATCTGTTTTTCCCCTTTGTTTTCATAAAATTGGAAATTAAATTCCTCTCTGGGAAAAAGATATGTTTCCCAAATATAACTAAATTATTTTAAATCAGATTTTGAAAAACAAAAGCAGATTTCTGAAATGTTTTTAATCTTACATCACAAAGTAAATATAAAAATAGCTGTTTCTTGCCTACTTACCACACACAGGGTATTATATGCAGCACTTCATATTATTATATTGAATACTAAAATAATCGTATGGCATTGTTACTACTCTAACCCCCATTTTATAAGAGTCAGGGTGGTTGTTTTGGAAGTCGGACTAACCTGGATTCAGTCCTGGCTACATTTATGAGCTAAGTGAGATGGGTAAATTTTCTTTAGGTCTGTAAATTAAAATGTCCTTTTCTATAAAACAAGGATAATATAAAAGTATTATCTGTCTCATGGTGGTAATGTGAGATAATACATGAAAATAATGTAGTATCTTACCTGGCACACAATCAGTTTATCAAGATCACCAATGATCTGCACGTTGCCAAATCCAGTCCATTTTCAATCTCCATCTTATGCAATCTGTCAGTAACTTTTAACACAGGTGATTACTCCCTCTTCCTTGAAACAAATCTCACTTGGCTTGTGGGATACCACTTGCTCTTGGTTCTCTGACTTCACTGACTGGCTATTCCTTGTCAGCCTTTTCTGATACATTCTCCTAATTTTCTTAAATTCAGAAGAAATGGAGAATCCAAAGGACTCGTTCCTTAAACCCCTTCTCTGATGCTCTAGATGATCTCATAGTTCCATAATTTTAAATGCCATCTGTAAATTAGTACCATAAAATTTATAAAGCAGCCAAGATCTCTCCTGAACTCCAGAGACTCACATTTCTAACAGATTACTCATCATTTCTACTCAGATGTTTAGTTAGCAATGTAAATTTAGCACATCCACAACTTGACACTTACTTTGCCTTCCCCCAGACATGCTTGTCCCACATTATT